TTTTTTTTTTTTTTTTTTAACTTGTTTGATAGTAATAATATATTTGATAAAAGTGTACTTTTATATTATTTATAATATTAAAATTCTTTAAATCTTTTTTCCATTGTTTGCTAAATAAGAAGTAACTAACTCATTTTTATATTCACAAAGTATATTTTACACCCCTTATGGTGTTTCATTTCAAGCAGTAATTGAATAATTGTTTAACATACGATCCATTAATTTTTTTAATTCACATAGTTAACATAGGTGATAGTTGTACGTTTACATCTATTTTTCCTTTTTTCATGGTATGAATAATTAAAATATATGTAATAAAAATATACCACAAGTTTATCTATTATTATTTTATAATTAATTATTTTAATTGAGTTAACATGTGTCTATAATTTATTTTATAAGATACTTTTAGGTCTATTTATTATTTTAACTTGGTTCAATAAAAATAAATATATTTTTATTTTATTTACAATAGATTGACCAAATCAAACATGATGGGAAAGAAATAATGTGATATTATATATCACATAAATAAAAAATATTAATATTTTAAAATAAAAAAATTAAAAAATATAAAAAGAATTAAGACTAACATACTGATTTCTAATACAAAAAAAAAATTATAAATATGCATCTTAAGTATGTTTAATTTATCATTCGCTAGCTTCAATTGATATAGGACATTTATTAATTTTATTATTATTATTATTATTTTTTTACTTTTGGATGGAATGTGAACTATAAGCTTTCTTGTTGTGTAGTATTATCTTTTTTTTTATACGTAAAACATCATTCTTACCTCTTGTCTAGTTATTACAATACTAATAAATAAAAACAGACTTTTTCAACCTAGATATATCTTTTTTAAAAAAAGAAACACTAATTATCATAAGTTAAATCATAAATACAATGAATATGTTATATTTTGTATCACTGGCAATAATTTTCAAAATAGTTAACTGCACACAATATTATATATAGTGCAAAATTGTTTAATTTGATTTGGAGTCACTTTTACTGTAAACAAATGATAAAATTCCAATGAAACATGTTACAACGAAATTTTAATGATTTTTTTTTTATAAGAAGTTGCTTTGTGTGAATAATACAAATAAATAGATAGATGAGTAATGGTAATATAGCGAGATTATTTATTGTTAAAATTTAATTAATTTTCAAAGTATATAGGCATATCATGATTATCCATATATTTTTAATTAATTTATAGATAATCATATGATCTAAATTAAATCATGTTGCTCAAGTGGTATTCCATTTGACATGAAAATAAATACTATGGGTTTTAATTTTATACAAATTCATAAAATTGTTCTAATCTTAGTTTAAGAAAGGAAATTTAGTATATTAGAAGTTTAGTCTGCAAAATAACAATTCAACCGTTCTCATACTACTACACAATTTATTCTTTTTTATAGGTTATTTTGAAAAACAAAAAATGTTTCCATACTTTATGGGCATTATGAGGAAAAATATTATCGATTTCAATTTTCTTACTTATATAAGTTATAGTTTGTCTTTTGTATTTTTATGATCTATTCTAATTCTTTGAATATTTATTTTCAATTAATCAATCACAAGAAGTACATTACATAATGGACAGTGTCAAATAATTGAAAGTTGAAAAAATAATATTTAAAAGTAATAGTGAAAAAGATTGCATGAAAATATTGGTTGAGAAACCTTCAATATCTAAGTTAGTCTTGTTTATTCGAAATCTTTTTTGTTTGGGGAAGATTGACAAATATGAACATTAAAACTAAATTAAAATCTTTGACATGAATAATTGCATATGATAGTTTACAATTTTGTCTTCTTATCTTGTTGAAAGAGACCATTCTTTGTCATTATTTTTATTGATAAAATATAGCAGTTATACGTCAACTGTCATATGTTAGCAAAGTTTTTATATATTTTTTCATATTATCTTCTCCTTTTCCAGTAAAATAGTTTTTGTATGCTTTTTTTTTCTTCATTGGATCTTATTAATTATATATTTTCGTGAGTTATAAATATATATTAATATTCAAGTTTTGGTTGAATTTCAATTTTTTTTTTTCATTCAAATACTATTATATTTTTCATGAACCATTACAAACATATGGTACACAATTTGATTTAGATTTCAATAGTCTTAAAATATAATTTAAAAACATTAAAGCAATTATTTGGTAAATTGTATTGTTTTTTTTATTTTTTGATTAAGAAATAAAATTGATTTATATTAAAGATTCATATTATGTATAATTAGCGATAGTTTTGGCCTCCATGTCACATTTAATACTAACATAATTGTTATTAATAAACTTATAAAATTAAATAAATATTGCTACAAAATTTATCTTATATACTTACGGTTAAATAAACTCTTAAAATTATTGAGAAAATCATAAAAATATTTACAAATCTTAAAATAATGTCAATGAATAAAATATTTAATATACAAAAATTTGAATTATCATTGTTTATAGAGCGCTCATCTTGAAAATCAATTGCTCATGTGAAGCAATAATATTTTTTATTAGTTTTTTTCCTTATCTATCATACTGAACGCGTTATTTATTTATTTATTTATTTTTATTTTTTATTTTTCCTTTGACATGAATAATTGCATATGATAGTTTAC